GGCAGCCTTGCAGGCCTCTGGGTCCTCTGCCCCGCAGGCCTGGTCCCCTCCCAGGACTGTCCATGAAACTCTTATCCAAGGGCTGGCTGACCTCCCTGGGGGCCAGCCGGGGGCCGTGGACTTGGGAGTCCTGAACTGGACCAAGGCCCAAAATGGTACACAACACTGTGTCTCCAGGATGGCCACCACCCTCTAGGTTCTGTGACCAAGGCTAGCTTGGGGTTAAGGGTAAGCTCTGGTATTGGGGCCCTCTCTGCAACTCAACCTGGCCCTACCTCCTTTCAGGAAAAGCCTGGTCAGCCCAGCCAACCCAACCCCAGCAACCCTCCGCCGGCCTGGCTAGAAGGACCTGGTCTGGAGCTCAGCGGCCTCTGACCCATGTCACCCCACCAGGCCTCAGTCTCCCCTCTGTGACCAGCTGGGTTCCCTGGGGGCAAGGACCTGGCCCTGGACCCAGCCTAGCCCATGGGCCAGGGTGTCATTTACTGCTTGGCTCTGCATCTTCCAGGACCCCTGGGCCCTGTGCAGCCCTGCCTGACCTCCTTGCCTGGGGCATGATGGCATGAGGGCTTCCAGCCTCAGGCTCAAGGCTCTGACCTTATTAAAAATACAGACTCCCGCTTCCCAAACGCAGATGTAATGAATGAGAAGCAGAGTCACTGTTGTCTGAGCCTCAGAGGCAGGCGTCCTGCAGAGTCATCAGCCTCGCTCCAGCCCCGCTGACTCACTGCTCTCCTGCCTGCCAGCGGGGCCGCTCCGGGCTTCCTCGGGCTTTCTCAGACAATGAACAGCCCAGGGGTCAGGGGACTGTGCAGGGAAACTGATGCAGAAGCCTGGCTGGATGGAGACCCCGCTCTGCACCCAGCCTGTGCTCAGCGAGGTCTCTGGGTCCCTACCATTGCCCACAGAGACAGGACTTTGTGTTCCTGTTCTCATGAGCATCAGGGTGAGATTCTCGCAGGGATGGGCGATCAACTGCCAGTATGCGCAGGGGCAAGGGGCTGGCCGACGTCTGACTGTGGTGGGGTCCGGAACACCTCCCAGGTCAGGTAGTACCTGAGCACTCCTGCTGGGAGTGAAGGAGCAAGTGCGCAAGGAGGAGCATTGCAGGCAGAGGGAACAGCTAGTGCAGAGGCCCTGAGAGGACATCCTACATGCCGAAGAAGCAGAGGGAGGCCAGTGTGGCTGGAGTGGGGCCAGGGTTGGGTACGGACTCAGAAGAAGACTCACTGGCTATGATAAGGACTCCTTCTGGAAGGTTCTATAGAGGGACAGACATGATGTCACTTCCATTTTAAAACAATTGCTTGGTGGCCAGGTTGGAAATAGAGGATAAGCAAGAGGAGAAGCCAGAAAGCAGCCTGGCTCCCTTAGCCATCCCTGAGGCATTGGGTGGGAGCAGAGGGAGCCATCGGGGGTTTCTTCTGAACAGCTGAGAGTGTTTGGTTGGGAAGGCTAGGAAGGGGCAGGTTTGGGCAAAGCCCAGGAGACCAGCCTCCTGCATGACCACAGACAGACAAGTGAGGGGAGGACCAGGAGCAGACAGAGCTTTCTGGAGTCCAGGGAGGGCTGGCTGGGTGAGGGGCCCCATGGGCTGTGTGCAGACAGTGAAGAAACTGGGCAGGAGGGATGGGCCCTGAGACAAGGAGCCTGCAACGGAGCCCGTGAGCCAGGCTGCCGGCAGGAGCTATGAGTGTGAGAACATTGCTGCCAGGGCCTCTTCCAGGCACTGAGAGGGGTCAGGGATTTAGTACAGTGGTGCTCAAGCTCAGAGCTCCAGTCTGGAGCGGCCTGGAGCTGCATCACCTCCAATGGGGCAGGAAGAGACACGTTGTCTCCCTTGCTGTGCTGTCCCTCCTGTAAGGGCAGGACCAAACTTGGGCGCAGAGCCCCCTGAAGAACATGGTCCCTGGGCTTCTAGCCCCCGTGGTACCAGTGGGAATGACACTGTCTGCCAAAACAACAACCAGATGTCTCACGCACACCTGTGGGGGACACAGACTCTCCAATGTCCTGTGGCTTGTCCAGGAGCCCTCAGGCCATCTCATTTCTGTTTTCTTAGCATGAAAACAGGAAGAAACCATAAAGGAAAAGATAGATTTGACCCTCCCCCCCAAAAAAGAGAAACCTCTGTGTGCTCTGTGTGCCAAAAAATACTTTATATAAAGTTAAAGGACAAATTACAAACTCAGAAAAATAACTATCATAATAGCGCGCACATTTTTTACCTCACTATATAAAGAGCTCATGGGGCGCCTGGGTGGCTCAGTCATTAAGCGTCTGCCTTCGGCTCAGGACATGATCCCAGGGTCCTGGGATCAAGTCCTGCATCAGGCTCCCTACTCAACAAAGAGCCCGTTTCTCCCTCTGCCCCTCCCCCTGCTTGTCCTCCCTCTCCCTCTCTCTCTCTCAAATAAAATCCTTTAAAAAAAAATAAAATAGAGGGGCACCTGGGTGGCTGAGTGGGTTAAAGCCTCTGCCTTTGGCTCAGGTCATGGTCCCAGGGTCCTGGGATCAAGCCCCATATGGAGCTCTCTGCTCAGCGGGGAGCCTGCTTCCTCCTCTCTCTCTGCCTGCTTCTCTGCCTACTTGTGATCTCTGTCTGTCAAATAAATAAATAAAAGTCTTAAAATAAAATAGAGAGCTCATAAAAATGATTAAGAAAAATATTGTCCCAATAAAAAGTTAGCCAAGAATGTAAATTGGTAATTCACAGAAGTACAAATAAATGTCCGGTAAACAGAGGAAAATTTCACTGACAAGAAAAAAGTTCAAACTAAAACAACAAGATACCAAAATGTATCTAATAGATTGGCCCCCCAAAAAAACTTTCTTGTTTTTTTTTTAAATTTTATTTATTTATCAGATAGAGATCACAAGTAGGCAGAGAGGCAGGCAGAGAGAGAGGGAAGCAGGCTCTCTGCTAAGCAGAGAGCCTGATGCAGGGCTTGACCCCAGGACCCTGGGATCATGACCTGAGCTGAAGGCAGAGGCTTTAACCTACTGAGCCACCCAGGTACCCTGCAGGTGGGTTTGTTTTGATGTGCTTTGCACCTGTCGGGGGCTGGTCTGAACTTTTACTTCATCCTGCAGGACCGGTCTTGGGGCCCGCATTCTCAATTCTTCAGGGCATCAGGGCATGGCAGACTTGCCATCCCCGCCCCACGGGAGACAGCGACTCCCGCCACTGACATGTAGGCTCCTACCCTTTCCCCTTGCCCTGCACTTTTTCATATACGTCCAGATACCTTTAGGCATCCCAAGCAGCGTAGTGCTCACAAAATCTTCACATTACAATTGAAATGGCAGGTTTTTTCTTTTTTTGTTTTTAAAGATTTTATTTATTTATTTGACAGACAGAGATCACAAGTAGGTAGAGGCAGGCTGAGAGAGAGAGGGAGAAGCCGGCTCCCTGCTGAGCAGAGTGCCCAATGTGGGGCTTGATCCCACGACCCTGGGACCATGACCTGAGCCAAAGGCAGAGGCTTTAACCCACTCAGCCACCCAGGCGCCCTACATGGCAGGTTTAATACAACATGTATGAACTAGTCTAAACTTCACAGCACAGGATGATACTGGATTTTTTTTCTTCCAAAGAGGAAAAGCTTGGACATACATTCAAGGATGATACAGGATTATTTTTCTTTCTTCTAAAGTGGAAAAGCTGAACATACGTTCCAGCACCGACGGAAAACATTTTGTCTTTCCATGTAAACCGTGCGAGGTCGACATCCCAGCAGGCTCAGTTAGGGCACGGGAGAGCCGGGTGACAGAGACCAGCCAGACACAGGCAGAAAGCACCAACGTTCCAAATTGAGAAGAACAAAGCAGATGATGGGGGGAAAACGCTTGAAAAATTTTCTTCTCAAATGCCCTGAACTTTTCTTGTGTGTGGGCATCTCCTGCATTTTGGATGGTTCCCTTCCATTCCCAGAAGTGTGATTGCTGGACTGAAGGGCATGGTTGGGGGGTGGGTATAAGGTGCCCGAAAGGTGTTCCCAGACTGCTTGCAGGAAAGGCTCCTCAGCACCTGCTCCCCTCCCCCATGCCAGGCCTCTGTGCAGCCATGCGGGCAGTCCTGGATGTCCTTTTTCATTCTTCTTATTTTCAAAAGCTCAATTCCTTTTTTGAATAAGCGCATGCAAATACAGGTTACCAACCCCCAGATGTTGCAGTCTCCCCAGTGTGACCTCCCACCAGGTACAGTCTGTCTCCTCTGCCTCCTTTACTGGTAATTCCTGCCTGGTCTGCATACCCAACGAGTTCCCCAGAGGCTGCCTTACCATTTTCTTATTTCTCTGGGGGTTACTTTTTTAACCTTTACAAGAGCTTCTTCATCTTTCTTATTGTGGTGAGACACACGTAAGGCAGACTTCACTGTCTTAACCATGTTAAATACAAGGTTCATCAGCATTAAGTATCTTCACCTTCCGCAGCAGTCCCCACCCGTCCAACAGAAACCGTCCCCATGAAGCCCCAGCTGCCCATCCCTGCCCCCAGCCCCCAGCATCCTGCTTTTCTGTCTTGGGAGTCTGACTTCTCCAGGGACCTCCCATTCGTGAAATCACACATTTGTCCTTTTGGGGCATTCGTTTTAATGCATCATTTCCATGTTTCTTTCTTTTTTTTTTTTTATTTTTTTTTAAGATTTTATTTATCCATTTGACAGAGAGAGATCACAAGTAGATGGAAAGGCAGGCAGAGAGAGAGAGAGAGAGAGAGGGAAGCAGGCTCCCTGCCGAGCAGAGAGCCCGATGCGGGACTCGATCCCAGGACCCCAAGACCATGACCCGAGCTGAAGGCAGCGGCCTAACCCACTGAGCCACCCAGGCGCCCATCCATGTTTATTTCTTTCTCTGGCCCCATCCTGAGGTGGGCGGACCCGCTGGGTGGGAGGCTCTGCCCACAGCTATGGGGGCGGTACCCTGGCTGAGCTCTTCCCCTGCACGGAAGGGCTCCTGGCCCTGGCCCGTGGCCCCCTCCCACTATTTCTCTCCTAGACCCTGAGCCCCCAGAAGCAGGCATTCATTTTGGAGCTGCTGTCTGGGTGCCTCGAGTACCGGAAGCTGCTGGCCGTGGTGGTGGACGCCTTCTACGTGCGGGCCGGCTGGTTGTGCCCACGGGCCGACTACAGCCTCTTCCAGGGTAGGTGTCCCTGCGGGCCAGGACTGCAGCCCTTGTGACAAGGGCCCCAGACTTGCAGCAGCAGTGATGACCTGGGGAAGTTGGAGTGCACGGACCCTCCTCAGGTTCCTGCTGTTTCCACGGCACTCCTGCTTTCTGGGGTCTCCCATGGGCCCTCAACTCACTGGGTCTTCAGGGATGCCCGTGAATGCACAGGCCAGGGTCCACCTGACAGACACAGACACAGACTCTGGGCCTACTGAAGAGCACAGGGCTCCTGTCCCAGGGGACAGGGCATGGGGACTGAGGGGTACTGGGGGGCTGAGCTTGGTGGCCAGAGGTCAGGTCCGGAGCTGGCTCCTGGGCCCTGCCCACACCCACGACACTCCGGTCGAGTCCACTGCGCATCGCTGCCCCACCTACCTGTTGGTGTAACCAACAGTCCCTCGGACGGCCCTCACCTGGCCCAGGGAGTTCAAGTTCCAGTTGGTTCGAGGCTACTTGGTCTCTCAGAATTAACAAACAAAAATCCAAAATGATTTTACTTCTACACGACCTCATTTTTGCAATCCTGTCATCCTGTCATTTTCCCGGGCTGCCAGGTGGAGCAGCTGCCCTGACAGTGGTGGGGCCTGGGGCCTGTGGTGCACCTGTCAGGCCCTGGCCTCTGGCTGACTTCCCCAAGATCCAGTGCTGGGGGGCGGGAGGGGGACCCCCCAGGATCGGCCCCACGCTCACCAGCCCTGTCTCCTTAGTGATCTGCTACCTGGCCATGTTCCAGCTGCAGGAGCTTGGCTTTCAGCTCTTCTGTGACATCGTGAGGGCCCAGCCCGTGGACAAAATGCACAAGGTGCGGCCCCTCCACACACCCTATGTCTCCGCCTTGTTCTTTTAAGATTTTGTTTATTTGACTGAGAGAGAGAGCGCGCACGCACACAAGCAGGGGGAGAAGCAGGCAGAGGGAGAAGCAGGCTCCCCGCTGAGCAGGGAGCCTGATGTGGGACTTGATCCTGGGACCCCGAGATCACAACCTGAGCCAAACGCCAATGCCGACACACGACTCTTGTGCTGCCTGGCCTGCCCCCAGTAAGTGACCTGTCCCCAAGGCCCACCGCTCACAGTGCAGTGAGCAGTGACCAGACAGAGACGTCCTATTTCCTTGTCCACTTGAAGCTCTCCCTGGGGACTGCAGCATGTGGCCTCCCCTTCCAGCTGGTTTTGCGGAGCCTGACTTGAGTGGTCTGGAGTGGTCCCCTGACTATACAAGGCCCTCCAAGCTGGAGTGTGGCTTCAGCTTGGAGGACCCCCTGACAGAGAAGCCCCCCAGCAGGGCGTGGCAATCCCTTCACCAAGGGCTAGGGCCTGAGCTTCATCTCAGCAGGGCAGACAGCTCCTCCTGCGGCCACGGCCTCCCCAAGCGACAGCCAGCCAGCTCTACAAAAGCCTCCAGCTACCCAAGATGGCCAGCCTCCCCTGAGAAGCTAAACTGTGCTGTGCCTTCTAGAACCAGTACTGTTACACTTGAGGGCTGTGACTGGAAAGCAGCCGTTAGGAGCCCCCAGCCGCTGGAAATTCCTGCTGCGGCGGGGTCCGAGCCATCCCAGGGCACACATCCTCAATCCCTTGAGGGTAGCTCGCTCCTGGGGCCCATCACCATCACTGTCCTGGGCGAGCAGAGGCAGAATGCAGAAAACAGGGCAACTCCGTTCTTGAATTCTGGAGCCAACGGGGTGGGGGTGGGGGAGGCAGACCACTGTCCGTCTGTCTCTACCAAGAACTCTCCAGAAGTGGGGGGTGCGGGGCCCCTGGGTAGCTCAGTGGGTTAAAGCCTCTGCTTTCAGCTCAGGTCATGATCTCAGGGTCCTGGGATCAAGCCCCATATGGAGCTCTCTGCTCAGCGGGGAGACTGCTTCCCCCTCTCTCTCTGCCTGCCTCTCTGCCTACTTGTGATCTCTCTCTCTATCTCTGTCAAATAAATAAATAAAATCTTTAAAAAAAGAAAAAAGTGGGGGGTGGGCCGTGCAGGTCCTGGGCAGCTGGCTCAAGCACAGGCTCCCCACCAGCAGGGGTGGGCCCTGCTTGGCCGGGGCATGCTACAGGACTGGGGTGGGCTGCCCCAAATTCCCAGATACCATGTGCAGAAGCCCGTACGGTGAGGGGCAGCTCCCCAGAGTCCAGAGGGCAGGGGTTAGACATCTGTCTCTGTTATGGGGAGAGAGGGTCTGTCCTGAAGGGCTTCCTGCCTAGGTCTCCTCTCATGGTATGTTAGCCGCACCCACCCTCTGGACGCTGGCTTTCTGTGGGAGGGGACATGGGGGGGTTGGGGCCCAGGTTGGGGGGTTGGGGCCCAGGACCACCCCCAGTGGTTCCTGTTTCTCCCTTAGTTCCTCGGGTTCTTCTTCAACCCCTTAAACCTGTGCTCATGGATCAGGGATGAGTGGAGCCTCATCTATGAGACCGCCCATGTGAGAGAGAACTGGATCGACCCCCTGATGAGGTGGGCCATGCTGGGGGCCTCCCTGCAGCCCACCCCACAAAGCCACCCTCACTGCCTGTCCCCATGTACCCTGACAGGCTTGGGCAGATACTGGTTTCATAGGTGCAGGCGACGACCCTCAGAAGGACAAGCATGGGGGGCAGGGTAAAGCTGCCCCCCATTGCTTCCCTTCTGATAGGGCCTGGGGGGGGGGCTCCACCTTGTCTTCTTGGGGCCTGAGAGACTGTTTGGGACAAGCAGACCACCTTAGGTACAGTCCAGGGGAGGCAGAAGTCCTGTGGGAAGGAAACTGGCCCTGGGGCCGTGGGGTGTCCCTGGAGCTACCCTGCCCCGGAAGAAAGGCCTCAGAGTCCTCAGTCCCAGCCAGGCTGGATTCACCGTCCATCCACAGGGCTGCCAGCAGGCGCTCGGGCTGCAGGGCCTGAGAGCTACCTCTGGGTCAGTCTGCTTCCAGGGTACCCTGACCCCTGCCCCCAGCCCCATGCAGTCCTACTGTTCCTAGACCTGGGGAGACCCCACTCCCTGTTGGCCCTCGGACAGGCTCTTCTTTCCTCTGGGGGCTGCGGTCCTCAAGCTGGGGCAGGAGCTATCCAAGGCATGATGCCTGCCCTCAGGGGAGCCCCATAGGTCAGGCTGGTGGTATGGGCAATGCCCTGCCCAAACCTTGCTCCGGGACACCCCCGCCCCACCCCTGGAGCCCCTTCTCCAGCTGTCACCAACAGCACAGCTCCAAGAACTTTCCAGCACTCTCCAGCTTGTCCTGGCCTCTGTCCCCTGGGCCATGTGCTGGCCCAGATTAGCTTCACATCCCCACTGCTGCTCCTCTTCAGATCGCTGGGCCCCCGCAGTGAGGATCACTCTGGCCCCGTCCCTCCAGCTCCCCATTCACTCGCTCACCAGCATGGCTTGGGAACGCAGGGCTTCGGACCCTGCTTCCCCACCTGCTGTGTGATTCTGGGAGGGGCTGGTACAGTGCCAACGTTGGAGCCATTATCACCCCACCCCGAGGTAGACTCCGGGCGCTTGGGGGCATCCTTTGGATCCCAAGGACCACGCCCTCATTGACCTGCTTTGCAAGTGGCCGTAAGTGGCTGCTCCCACCTTTGCCTTCAAGATGGCAGCCGGAGGTCCAGGAGCTGATCCACCAGCTGGAGGAAGTGATGGCCAATCAGCTCCCTCGTTCAAAGACCAAGGCCAGGGTCACAGAGCCCAAGGAGTTCAACCTGACTGTCCCCCGGCCCCGCGCCATTCCGGTCCCCGAGCCAGTCCCTGTCGTGGCCAAGTCAAAACCAGTAAGTGTAGGCATTTGCTGTGGGCACAGGCTGTGAGCCAGGGGCTGGCTGGCTCTCCCCAGGGCCGAGGGCACTCTGGTCCAGACTAAGAGTGTTTGATGACCCCTCCTGCCAATCCAGAGCCTGCCTGGTAGATTCCTGGGCTCCACATACTGAGCTCTGGTCAGGGATGTGAAATGAGGCTGGGGGACCACGGGGCTCAGGCTCCTCTGGACTGGGGACTTGCAGCCTGTTGCAGGATACCTCTCCCTCCCCGTTACATCACACACAGTGCAACATGAATCCCCAGATTCTCTTCTGTGCTCTCCAGGCCACAGGCCGGCAATAACATCTATCTGTGTGACCCCAGTCAGATCGGCCTGCCCCGTCCCAGCACCTTTGCACATCTGTCCCCTCTGCCTAGACCTCATCCCCTCCCTCTCTTCTCCCTCTCCCTATCTTGCTGACACATCCTGCCAGTCAGGATGTTTTGTATTGCAAATAACAGGAAAAAGCTCTTTCTGGGTTAGACTGCAGAGAACTGGCTGCCTCTGGTTGGATCAGCATTCTAGCTGTGCTTCTGCGGGTCCCCGTCGTCTTTGGGCAAACGTCCATCATTGTAGTGAACCATCCAGGCCATGAGAGGACATGTAGGGCCAAGAACTCCACGACCCGCTCAGGTGGCATGCCTCCCCTTGAGCGGATCCCCTGATCAGGGTGCGGTGGTCCCTGCCCCAAGCACCTGTATGACTCAGCTTCCTGGAACAAATCTGGTTTCCTCACAGAGTTGAGGAATGTGTGGAGGGTAAGGGGGTGGTGCTGGGGGACCCCAGGATCCCAGCCCACTTCCACCACCCTTAGGTCACTGCAGCTTGTCTGCGCAGAGAAGCTTTCTGTAAACCCCTCACCTGTGTCAGGTCCCTCCAGTAGTTGGATGCTCCTTAGACACACAGGGCAGAGGGCCAGGAGTGAGGGTCTGCAGCACAGGGCTTTTTGGGCTGTCCCTGCCCCACCCCCCCACGGACACTGCCCCCTGCAGGCTTGTGAGGTTCCCTGTGACCAGACCCAATGGAGACTTCTCAGGTCCCTTCCCTTCCCTTCCCTGGGCTCCAGGACACTCACTTTCCTGGGCTCTGTGACACTCTCCTGGCCTCAACTGCCCCTCCCGGCCTCCTCCCTTGTCTGCTGGCCACCCAGTCACCTGCCTGCTCCTCCATTGTCTCTTGGGCCTGGGCACTAGGCTCGGCCACCTTCCTTCTTGCTGCAGGCCTGACGTCCTTCCCTTCCCTCCCTCCCCTCACCAGCACCCAAGGAATCCCAATCAGAGCTCAGCAGCTTCCCTTCTAGCCCTGCCCCTCCCGCACCCTTAGCCAGCTGGCCATGGCCCGGCACCTCTACGCTCCCCTCAAGACTGTAGCCGCTGACCGCAGGCTCCTCTCCCGCCATCCCACCAGGTCCCCAGGAGCACCTACCAGCCACCCAAGGAGCAGCAGCTGTTGGAGATGGCCAAGAGGTTTAATCGCTGGAAGGCCGAGGCAAGGAGCTTGCCCTGAGACCTGCCTTCCTAGAGCCCTCTGGGGGGTGGTCTGTATAGAGGGTTGGGGAGGGGAAGGCGGAGGGAGAGTGCCCTCGACTGGTAGCCACTGGGGCCAGAGCCACATGGGGCTGTTTGCAGGAGCTGCTGCTGCAGGCAAACATTGAGGAGATGCGGTGTGCAGTGCCCCGGTCCCAGGGGGAGCCTCCGATGCAGGTAACCCCCAGCCCAGCACACCCTGGGCCAGTCTTCACGGTGGCACGAGAACATTGCTCCCCATGCCCTGTCAGCGGCCACACTGTGAACCCCTCCTTTAGCCCCTCCAGCAGTTCACAGAGGGACAGGCTCCCCACATGGCTGGGAAAGTGCTCCCCAGGGCTGGGAATGGGATGGTGCTCCCAGGGGCCCTACTCCTGGCTGGGACGCTGGTATGGTGCTGCTCCCACTCCTTCCCCATCCCAGAGCCAAGCTGAGTGCAGCCTGAGGGTGCAGGTGCAGACACCCCTCCAGACCTCTGTGGGAGCATGTCCTCGGCACTCTCTGGGTGTCCCCAGATTTCCATTCTGAGTACTTACTACTTCTATAGGAATAACAAAACTCCCGGTATGTTTGTCAATAAGGGAAAAGTAAAGTGAGCAGGACAAGGAAGACCTGTTCTTGGTGGCTGCTAGGAGCTGGGCCCTCCCTGCCCTCCTCACCGTGCCCCCAGACCCCTGTGCCCGCTGAGCCTCACGGAGGTGCTGTGGTCCCCATAAGTACCTGGGGCAGGCAGGGGAGGGGGGGTGATAGCTGGGTTCCTGGGGGGTGCCCTTTGACCCATGGCTCTGCACACTGGGGCTGTGGGGCCCGTCCTGGGAAGCCACAGAGCAGCTGAAGCAGGTGGATAGCAAACTTGGGGGGCTGCCAGGAAAGGTCATGGAAGCCAGCCCTGGGGAGCAGCTGGGGGGATGGGTCCCAAGGCCTAGGGGCCAAGCTCCCCTGACTGGGAACCGCTGCCCCCAGGCCTGGCAGGCCCACTCTTTCCCTGTCCCCATCTGGGAGGTCCAACACCCTAGAGAGGCTGGAGAGGGCACTGGAGGACAGAGGTGCTGCCCTGGGGGACACATGCCTGGGCGGGCTGGGAACACATGGTGGGCAGCTGGACTTGGGACAGAGAGGAGAGTGCTGGCCCTCCCGGGGTGCAGGGCCCATCACCTGCCCAGGGTGCATTTAAGGACCCATGGCAGGCACAGCTACCAGGTGCTGACTTCTCCAGGCCTCTAAGAAGAAGCTGCAGCTCCGGCTCATGCCCCAAATCATGAAGACCTCAAAGCTGACCTTCTACAAGGTGAGGGGTGCTCCTGATTGGTCCAGGTGGGCACAGGCACTGGTCCCCAGTCCCTGGACACCCACCTCCTGGCCTGTTTTGTGCCCAGGGGCTCGGAGGCAAGGGAAAGTGTGGAGGGCAAGGGGGTGCTTGCTGCCCTGAGTCTCCCCTCACTGTCCTCTCTCCTGCAGCCCAGTGAGGTCCCGGTCAAGCTGAACACAGCTGCCATCCTCCGAGAAGGGTCTCTGTACCAGCGGCAGGTGGAGAAAGAGCTGCAGAGGTGGGGGTGGCTGCTCCTTATCCCCCTGCAGAGGAGGGGCAGGGCAGGGCTCTTCTGGGAGAAGACGGGGCCCAGTAATTGTGGTGCTTTGGTGGGGTCCGCAAGCCAGCTGGTGTTGGGGTCACAGCTATATCCAAGGAAGAGAATCCATCTCAGTGAGGGAGATGGACGGGACAGAAGGGGACTTAGCAGAAAGCTAGCCCAGCCCAAACCTCTCTCATGAGTCGCCTCCTTCTCAGACCCTGTCCTGATGCTCCTCTCCCCCCGCAGACCACCAGCACAGCAGAGCCCCTGTGCTTACCCCACAGGCTGGGCTGTGGGTGGGAGTTTGGGTGGTCACCCAGATGGATGAGAGGATAGACAAGTGGACAGAGGGATGGCTGACAGACAGACGGTGGACGAGGGGAAGGTCAACAGTCCAGTGAGTAGACAAACAAGTGGCTGAAGGCTGGATGCACAGGACAGGGACAGGTGGACAGCAGGCGGGTGGGTGATGTGGTGGGTGTTGGGCGAAGAGCTCCCTGCACCTGTGAGGGCCACTGTCCCCAGGGGTGCCCGTGGTATCCTGGCGGTAGCCAGCACACATCCTGACCTGGGGGGGGGGAACCCAAGCCCTACCTCTTGCCCCCTTTCCCCAGGGTGGATCAGCTTGTGGACGGGGCCGGGGACTTCTCTGAGTTCCTCGAGTGGCAAAAGAAGATGCAGGCAAAGGACCGGGAGGAGGAGCTGACTGCAGGCGAGTGCCGGCGGCTGCTGGGCAAGCTGAGCCGTGAGGAGGCCATCCTGGCCCGGCAGCACGTCACACAGGAGAACAAGCAGAAGGCCAACCAGAAGAAGGAGGAGGTGACTCAGCCTTTCAGGGGCCACTGGGGACCTGGGGCCGGCCAGCGGGCCTGTCTGACTCCCGGAAGCTGGTGGGCTGTCCAGAGCCGGGGTCCTGGCCGCTCCTGGGTTGCACCTGCAGGCACACCCTGGGTCATTTTCTCCCAAGCCCCATCGTGTGTGTGGTTTGTCCCTCCCACTGAGACACCACCAGGCTCTCTGAGTGCACTGTCGGGCCAGTTCTTCTGGCCCAGACACCTCTGCCCCCACCAGCAGAGTCACTTGGCCCTCACATCCACACTGAAGGAAGACCTGAAGTTCTGGCGGAAACTTCCAGAAAGCCAACACGTGGCACTTTGGCATCTGGTGTCCACTCCCGTAGGAGGATCTGTGGGCCTCCACGTTACCATGTCCAAAGCTGTAGACGTATCAATCTGGGGTCGTCCTCCTGCTTGGACAGGCCACCTTGGTGGGGACCCCCACCTGTGTTTCCCCAAAAGCCTGTTCCTTACAGATGGCCTCCGAGTGGCATGGGCTCCATGGCCTGACTCAGCCCCCCATCCTCAGACATGTGTCCCTGAGGACCTGCCGTCACCTGAATGCCTTTCTGATGAACTTGTCTGTGTCTGTTTCTGTTAGATGTCAGGGTTTGCTTCTCCTTCCTTTTTAGTTTCCTTTCTTGCAAATACGAAGTCAAAACGGTATGAACAATAGACTCAGAGAAACGTCCCTTCTTCGGCACCCCTTTCCACCTACTCCCTCAGCTTATTTCCCTTAATTTCTGGACAATCTCTTGTGATTCCTTCGAAGCAAATGTATTCACTTGCCCACACACACTTCTTCCCTCCTTCTTCCCTTCCACACGACATCAGTGTGGCCTCCGAGCAAGCTTCTGGGGTCAGAGAAGGGAGACCCTCAAGGTGAACTCGAGGGGATGTCGCTAAGTCAGGAAGTAACAGAACACAGGGCTTTTGCTGTGTGGCCGTCTCCACGTTGTCCGGGCCACGCGGTCTCATCAGAGAGGCCGCATTGCCTGCTGCAGGTGGTGTGCGAGGGGCTGGGCCCCCAGGACCAGTACACTGTACTGACGTCAGAGATTTGTCCCGAACCTGTGGCTGCGACATGGCATCTCGACGCAGGGCTGACGTGCCTGTCATTTGTGAGGTGTGGGGCTGAGCATGTTTTCGTGTATTAACACCCATTTCTGTGACTTCTATGAACCACCTCTTTGTGGGTTTTGTCCATTTTCTCACAGCTTTACTGAGACGTGATTGACGAGTGAGACTCATATGTTTAAAGTGTGTGATGGGACAGGGGCGCCGGCGGGGCTCAGTCGGTGAGGCGTCCGACTCTTGATTTCAGCTCAGGTCACTAACTCAGCATGGTGAGATCAAGCCCCATGTCGGGCTCTGTGGCTCAGCACGTCGTCTGCTTCAGATTTTCTCTCCCTCCCCCGACTCTCTGTCTCTCAAATAAATAGAATCTTTTTTTTTTAAAACTGATAATTCTATTTTTAATTTTTTGAGGAAAAGTTAAAATACTGTTTTCTGTAATGGCTGCACCAATTTGCACCCCCACCGAAGGGCCCGAGGGTCCCCTTTCCTCTGCATTCTCCCCGATGCTTGCTGTCTTTTGACTGTGTTATGACAGCCGTCCTGACAGGTGGGCATGTTCATGTTCTCTGCCCATTTTTTAATCAGGGTATTTGGCTTTTTTCTTTTTCTTTTCTTTTTTTTTTTTTTTTGTTATTGAGTTATATGAGTACCTTGTGTATTTTTGGATGTTAACCCTTTATGGGATATACGGTTTGCAAATGCTTTCTCCCACTGCATATGTGGCCTTTTCATTTGGTTGGTTGTGCTGTGCTGAAATCTTTTAGTCTGATGTAGTCCCAATAGTTCATTCTTGTTCTTACTGCCATGTGTTCTCTAGTATTTGTGTTTAATTTTTACGTCTAGATCTCAAATCCACTCGAAGATTATTCTGGTACACGGTCTGAGATCTGGATCCACTTTCATGGCAAACCATTTCAATCTTCCAATTCATGAACACACTATGTCTCTCCATTTACTTAAATCTTTTCTTTCGTCTAGTTTTTAGCATCCAAGTCCTGTACATAATTCTATTAGATTTGTGCTTAAGTATTTCTTTTACTTTTTTGAGAAATTTTAAGTGATATTGTACTTTTAATTCTGGTGTCCATGTATTAAAATGTAATTGACTTTCGTGAATTGATCTTATATCTTGTGACCTTGCTGACCTCCCTTATTAAGTTTTTAGAACAAACAATGAATTTTGTTGTAGATTCCTTGGGATTTTCTATGTAGACCATCATGCCATCTGTAAAGAACCGTTCGTGTCTTTATTTCTGACCTGCATTTCTATTGTTTGCTCTTCTGGCTTATTGCACTGGCTAGAACTTCCAGGACCGTACCAGCTAAGAATAAGAGCATACATTTGTGTCTAGTTCATAATATCAGGGGAAATCAGTCTTTCACTGTGAATTACTGATGTTGGATGTAAGTTTTTGTGGACATACTCTCCATCAAGTTGATGAAGTTCCACAAGTTTTTATTATGAAAATGTGCTGAATTTAATCAAATGCTTTTCTGCATCAATGGATATGACCATGTACTTTTCTTCTTTGGGCTGTGAAAGTAATAGATTCATGATAAAGTGATTATTTCTTCGTCACATGATGGAGTTTCAAATATTGAACCAGCTTCTCATCTCTACCATAAACCCCACTTGGTTATGGGATCTAATTCTTTGTCCACATGCTGATTCTATTTGCCACTATTTTTATTTTGATCAACTGTTTCTGCATACAGTTTCATGTAGGATGTTAGTCTGTGGTTTTCTTCCTTGTACTTTGTCTGGTCTCAGTATCAGGGTCATACCAGCTTCATAAGATGAATTTGGAGGTATTCACTTCTCTTTTATTTTCTGGGGGAGATTGTATAGAATTGGTGTCAATTCTTTCATATTTTGCAAAATTCTCTGCTGAAATCCATCAAAGCCTGGGGATTTGTTTTTTGAAAGCTTTCAAATTACAAATTTAATTTCCACAAAAGTTACAGAGCTCTGCAAATGATCTGCTTCATAACGGGTAAGTAAGTTGTGGTCATTTGTGTTTTTTTAAGGAATTTGCCCATTTCATTAAGTTGTCAAATTTATGCATATAGAGTTGTTTATAATATCTTATTATCATCCTTTTTTTAGTGTCTATAGGATCTATAGTAATGTAACTTCTTTCATTCTTGATATTGGTAGGTTTGTGCCTTTTTACTTTTCTTCTGCAAGTCTTGCTAGAGATCCCAGGATCCCGGGATCATGACCTGAGCTGAAGGCAGACACTTAACTGACTGAGTCACCCAGGTGCTCCAAATCCTGTGTGTCTTCCTCCCAAGCTTCGGTCTTGTGCTTGGTCCTATGCTGCCCATCCCCTTGTTGCAGGGAAAGCCAGGACACACTGCTTCTTCTCCTCCCTCCCAGCTGTGTCTGTGCTATCCCCAGATGCGGCTCAACTGGAGGCCTGGGGACCCTGCTGGGCAGGCCTCCTCGACCACAGTTCTCTCAGTCTTTGTCCATAGTTTACTCACATGATGTAAGACCCCTCGCAGATTTCAGTAGCCTGCCCCTTTTCGTCTCCTATTTCCACACGAGCATTTTCCCACTTATTACCAAGTTTTTGAAAGCACTTTTTAAAATACGCTTTTTATTTTGGAAAGGTTTTAAGAGTTACAGAAAAGTTGCCAAGATAGTGCAGGGTGTTTCTGTGTCCTCCCACCCAGCTGTCCTGCTGGTGACATCTTCCAACACCACAGCACATCTCTAGGGCTGCCACAACAAAGCCCCACAGTGTGGAGGGCTCAGATCACAGTCCCGGAGGACCCAGGTCCAAGGTCAAGGAAGGTGGCAGTGGGGCCACGCTCTCTGCTAAGCTCCTCGGGGAGGGTCCTTCCTTGCATCTTTGCATCCTCACCTACTTGGACATAAGATCACATTCTGATGTTCCAGGTAGATGTGAATTGGGGGGACACTGGCCCAATGCACCATGGGATATTTGTCACAGCTAAGTAATCAACACTGGTACATGACTCTTCACTGAACTCCACACTTCCTTAAGATTTCAGCTCATTTTCCCCCTCACAAATGCCCTTTTCTTATCCCAGGACCCCACATTACATTTAAAGGTCATGTCTCCTATTCTTCTTGGCTGTGACGGTTTCTAATACTTATCTTGTTTTTGATGACCTTGACAGTTTGGAGGAGAGCTGGTCAGGTATTCTGTGGACTGCCCCTTGGCGGGAATGTGTCTGATATTCTTCTCATGGTGAGACTGGGGCGGTGGGTTTTGGAAGCAAGACTGCAGGGGCGAAGTGCTCTTCTTATCACATGCTCTCAAGGGCATCTGCTTTCAACAGACTCATCACTGGGATGTTGACCTTGGTCCCCTGGTCAAGGTCGTGCCTGCCGTTCTCTCCGCTGCCATCATCTCCCCCACCATTCGATACTCCATAGAAGGGGGTCTGTTAAGCAAAGCCCACACTCAGAAAGCGGTGCCTACAGAGAATTCCTCTGCACGGAGGACTCCTCTCCTCTCCCTCACTTATTCATTCGATTACTTCTTTCAGTGGGGACTCATGCATAGTTGTTTTACACTTTGTGTTATCACCCAATGGGACAGTATTTGCTGCAAGCTTTGGCTTTTGGAAGCTCTTCCAGGTGGGTTCCTGTATCCCTCTGCCTGCCCTCTGTCCTTCTGCCGTGTGAGCACTTCTGAAGTCCAAGCTGCCTGCAGGCTGACTCCATCTTACTGTGCGGCTAAAGATGAGCTCCCCATTGCACAGGCAGCCGGAGCTGGGAGTTGGCTCGCTCCATGGCCACCCTGGGCCAGTGACAGGAGGTGTAAACCCCACACTGTGCCTTGCAGTGTCTTGAGGACTAAAAACAGTGTTCTGAATTATTCACCATAGCACCAAGCCAGAAGCAATCTGAATGTCCATCCACAGTAGAATGGATGAAAGCTTTGTGATATAGTCCCCAAAACATACAGCTGCAAAAATAAGCCAGTGCAAGGCAAATGAATGCAGAATGGAGCAAAAAAGGCGAGAAGTCCCTGGACACACAGGAGGGTGCCAGTCACGTGCATCCAAGTGGCAAAACCGCCCCCTGTCCTGTTGTTTAAGACTCTGCCCTAACGAGGCACTGTGAGAAAGAAGAGAGGGGGGTGAGTGCCTGGGGGCTCATAGGACAGGAGCCTGAGGCTGCCCGGAGGGCTGGCAAGTCCTGTGCTCCCTAGGGCTTCCAACCAATGAGAACCCATCTCTCTCACCTGGCATCCAGGGGTAGGTGGGCTTTGGGGCAAACCCAGTGGCTCTGACTTGGTTTCCCCAGGACCATAGTGGAGGAAGGGAGGAGATGAGGTGGAAACTCCCCTGACCTCCAGGGGACTCCCAGGAGCTGAGGAGCTTAGATTCGGCTTCCAAGGTGACTGGGGGTCAGGGGCTGGTTCTGTTCCCTGGACCTCATGCCTTTCCTGGGGCAGGGACAGAGCGGGAGACACAGGCCTGCTCCGGGGGTCACCTCTGGCTCTGACCGTGCCGGGTTGGTTGTCCGAGCAGACGGCGGAGCTGCTGCAGCAGTGCGCTGAGAGGCGCCTCCAGGAGGAAAAGTCCATGAAGGAGCTGGTGGAGCAGGTGACAGAGGCGCAGAAGAACGTCAAGCTGGTGCAGATGAAGCTCCTGAAGGACCGGAGGCAGACAGGTACGGCGAGGGGCGAGGTACCACAAGGCTGAGCCCAGCTCTGCAACCCCCAGCTGGCTTCCAGCCCCAAGGGAGCCACCGTGGTCGGCGAGAGCCTCAATGCCCTCCAGGGAAGGCTGGGGTGGGGCAACCCCCCTCCGACCCCCTTGGCACCCTGCTTGGCCCCAAAGTTCAGGAGGTGATGGAGGAGAGCCGGGAGCTGCTGCAGCGCAGCGCAGAGACAGCCAAGGAGGAGCAGAAGCGGCGCTGTGAGCTCATCTCCCAACTTCGAGCCCTGGAGACCCAGCCTATGCGCAAGGGCAAGCTCGTGGACCTGACCCAGGTGAGGACAGGGCAGGTCCTAGCGGAGCCTCCCCATGTCCTGCTGCGCCTAGCATGGCCATGGGAGGGCGTGTCCATAAGTCCCCCCCGAGACCAGTGGGGGTCTGGCCCTGAGCTGAAGTGCACCCGGTACTGAATGCTATGGTTGACCTGCCTAGGGCGGGCCCAAGGGTTCATGGTCCTGTAGGTGAGACCTCTGCAACCTCTGGCGACCAGAGGCCAGGGATCCTGGGAGTGGGCTAGTTAGGCTTCACAAGACGGGCTTCCTGTTGAAGGAGGTCTCAGGACTCCCTGGCCCGGGTGGAAAGCACAGTGTAGGGGGAGTGCAGGTACACAAAGGCTGGAGGCAGGGAGGCTGAGAAGAGAGCACTGGGGCCCAGAAGCCTGTGTGAGAGGCACCGGGAGAAGCCAGGCTGGCATCTGGTGAGGCGGGAGCAGGCCCAGAAGGGCCACGGCTGCTGGTCTGTGAACCTGGCCCGATCCGGGGACGCACGGGAAGTCCAGAGGGCACTCTGCTCAGGCCCCCAGGATCTGGCTTGGGGACACAGCAGTGAGCTTGGGGAGAGGCAGTGAGCTCCGTTTGGGCCCTCCCACAACAGTGGGGCCTACAGGGCACTCAGCTGAGCTGTGCAGTCACAAGAGCGGGGCCCAGGCTGGAGAGGCTGAGTGGCAGACATGTTACACAGCTGCTACTGAGCAGAGGGAAGAGGTCTCCTGGGCACAGGGGCCAGACTGATGGAACATGGGGGAGGGACACCAGCTCCGGGGCAGGGGACCAGTCAGGGCACAGCAGACAGCTGTGCAGTCTAGGCACGGGCCTGGAACCCCGTTTCGGTTCTCCCCTTCACCCCGCAGATCCCTGGGTATGGCCTGGAAGGGGAGATGTCTGTGGTGGAGCTTCGAGAGCGGCTGGCCCTGCTCAAGGAGAGCCAGCGGCGAGAGGAGGAAGAGAAGCGAGATCAGATCATCCAGGGCAAGCGCGCGAGAAGCCAGGAACTGCAGAATAGGGTGGAGCAGATCTCGCTGTGCCGAGCGGCCATGGGCAGGTCTGCAGCCCTGAGGTAGGTACCGCTGGTCCTCCGGGCCGGCAACTCTGGCAGGAACAAGGTGTGCCTGCCTCTGCCTCCCCTGCCACCCCTCTCCCCCGCAGGCTCTCCCTGCACAACAGAGTACCCTCCTGCAGTTTCCTTCCAGTAGCTTCTCCCACTCCTATTTTATTAGATCATTTCCAGACATACAAAAATGGTGACAAAACTGTGCAGTGAGGGCTTGGATGCAAAATGATCGCATGCAGGCCACGAGTAGGGCCTTTGCGTGTGTTGCATCTAGCTAGCTACTTACTGTTCCTGAAGAACCATCTGGAAGTAGTTGCAGGCATCAGACACTCTTCACTCCTGAACACTTCAGAGGCCATCTTCTGAAGGAAAGACATGGTCCTATATAACACAGCACAATAATACAACTAGAAAATTCAACGAAAATTCCCATCATCTAAATATCCTCTCCGTGTTCATGTTTCTCTAGCGTCTCAAGACTGTTGGCTATAGGTTTTAAAAGATTGTTTGCTATAATTGTTTATTTTTCCTTTTTAAACCAAAACCTGGGTGAGATTCACACACAGCATTTGATTGTCAAGCATCTCGACTTGACTTCTGTCTTTTATTTTTAAAAATTTTTTAAAAGATTTTACTTACTTATTTGACAGAGAGAGAGATCACAAGCAGGCAGAGAGGCAGGCAGAGAGAGGGGGTAACAGGTTCCCCGCAGAGCAGAGAGCCCGATGCGGGGCTCGATCCCAGGACTATGTGGTCATGACCTGAGCTGAAGGCAGAGGCTTAACCCACTGAGCCACCCAGGTACCCCATACTTCTCTCTTTTAATGGAGAGCATGTGCACACGCATCCCTTTTGTTTTGGGAACACCATGGTGGCTTTTCCAGCCCCATGAGTATATCCCTTGGCATGGTGGTCAGGCACGGGTTGGTGTCACACCCCCCAGGGTCAGGTGGCACTTAGCCCTGTCACAGCATAGCCTGGTTCAGGCCCTGGCACCCAGGGCTCCAGAGACGGTGTGTAACTGGGGCGGGGTGGGCAGAAGGGAGGACAGTCACAAAATCCATCACTATTGATCCTGAGTGACTGCTGCTCTGGTTACAATTTGGGGAGGCCCCATGACAACTGTGGGGCAGGGCTGGCTGGCCACTCAGCAGGTCCCCAAGGTGGCAGGCACCTGGGAGACCTCACCACTTCCAGACTCAGCCTGATGGAACCCACGTGCAGCCTGGTTGGTGTCAGGGAGACTGCAAGGATCCAAACCTGCTAAGGAAGCTCCTGGAGCCTTCTGCGGCGAGCAGCCAGACCTCAGGGCATTGACTCACCGGCACCATTTTCGTGGGCAGTCTGACTGGCGGGGCTGGGATGTGCACTTAACCCAAAGCCATCGGGGAGCAGTCTGTAGAATGAGACTTCATTTTGGTTGGAAAAATAGCCTAGTATGGTAGAGATTTGCAAAGCTCTGTTAGCAGGGATTTCCTCTAGGCGAGAGAGTGGCAAGGAGAGCGCAAGATGAAAGAGGGTTTTCACTTCTTTGCTCCAAATACCTCCGTAGCTAATAGACAAAGTTACATTCTTAAAACGTTAAGTGCAAAAGAGCAAAAAGGTGATGGTGCTGGGCACCATTAGCGGTCCTTGGACGGCACCCCAGCCGTCCTTGGAGAGACTCTCCCCCCTGCACCTGAAACACTCCCGTTAACCTCCGTTTGGGGCCCCTGCTCAGCCCGCCCTGTCGCCCGCTCAGGTGGGAGGAGAAGAAAGCCCGCTCTGCGGCCCTGGGGGTGCCCTCCCAGGACGAGCGCGTGCTGGAGCTGCAGCGCAAGGTCGAGGAGAAGGCGGCGGAGCGCCGCCGCAAGCAGGCAACCCTGAAGCCGGTGCCGGTGCCGGCGCCGGCGCCGCGCCCCACGTGCACTAAGGCATGGGTGAGCTCTGGGAGCGCGCGGGGTGGCTGGGCGCACAGTGATGGCGGGGAGGTCGTGGACCCCGCGCAGGGGCAGTGGGGGCGACCCCGGCCCGCGCCGACCTCTCTTGGGGCGCTTCCGCAGGCGCACCTGGAGGAGCAGCACTGGCGGGATCTGCAGCAAAGCCGCGAGCGCCGGCTGCGAGCGCTGCTGCTGAGCACCTCGGCCGCCGGGCACGGGCGCCGCCTGGAGGCCGCCTGAGCCGGGCGGGCGACCCCAGACCCCGCGCTGCCCGCCCAGCCACCCCAGCCCGCCCAGCAGAGCGTGCAGAACGCGCAGTACGCCTCCTCTTCCCCGCCCGCGCGCCCCGCTGCACGCCCCCGGCCGCCCCGTGCCCCCCCCCCCCCGGCCAGAACAGGGCTGCCGGACAAGATGCAAGGCGCCCAGTTACTGCGTGGGACAAACACACTAAATAAAAGTATCCGCTTTTATCTGCAATTCGAATTTATCTGGGTGTCCTGTACTTTATATGCTAAATCTGACCACCCTGACCTGGATCCTCGCCCTTCCCTGGGGCGCAGCACAAAGCATTAGCCACGTCCCTCTTCAGAGCTTCCAGAGCCACCTCTGCACGTGAAAACTTGGGAGTCCCCACTCTCTGCCCGGAGTCTGGTGGCAAGGCTTACCCCGTGTGGTTGTGCTCGTGAGTTTGATTGAGGTGGCCCGGGTGCCTGAGCCACTGGGAAAGGCCTATCTCAGGATTTACCTCCAGCAAACCTCACTGCAGCCATGGCGGGGAGGGGGCCAAGGGGATGCAGGAACTGTCCCCTACTCCCATTCTGCTGATGAGGCCAGTAGTCCTCAAAGAGGTAAAGTTACCAGCCCCAAAAGCCTTGACCCAAAGCTAAGTCTGCTTGACTTTAGAGCCCCACCCAGCCTTCTTCAGCAACAGCAAAGGAGCATGACTGGAGCCAGTGGGCATGAGCCCAGACCGGGACACATTCATAATTTTGGTTCCTCCGGATCCAGCGCCAGGCTGGAGAGGGCATGACCTTGAGGATAGGCTGGCTGAGCAAAAGTCTGCTGTGGAAATGCAGAATCATTAATAAAACACAAGGTGCTGCAGCTCCAGGAAGGACAGTCTGGGCACGGCCCCAGGGGGAAGGGCTGGAAACAGCCGGGTAGTTAGATGTCCAGGAGAGATATGCCCCCAAACTTGACATCCTCCTTGGCTCTGTTGGGGAGATGACACCTCAAAGGGGGAGGCTGGACCCCAGGGCACATTCTGACCAGGAAGATGGGCATCTTAGAGTAAAACAACAGACTGAACACCAGCGTTCTTCCCCAATATTTTGAGCAGTGTCAGAAACACAGGACTTTCCCAGGTTGATAGAGAAATTTCCCACCTCCCTGTCGAAAGAGCTGGGGGCTTGAATTTTATTTTTTTCATTTAATTTATTTCATTATTCATTTAAGGAAACAAATGTGACATTTTTTACAAGTGTTATGTGAGATGGAAATCCATTCCACTTGATTTCAAGGAAATACACGGACGATGGCCTGTCCAGAGTCCCTCGGGAGTTCTTCGAGTTTCAAAGGATGCATATTAACTCCCGTAGCTGGCAGTCCAAAGGTGTGGTGGGCTTCAGGACATGCCTGATGCTGGAGCTTGGTCTCCAAGCTAGTAGCAGTTCCAGCCTCACAACATTGAGGAAGAAGAGTCATCTCTCCCTGGTGGCTCTCAGGAGGGCTCTCTGTCCTCAAGGCATTGTGTGAACATCTGCTCCAGGCTCACTGGCCTGAAATGAACAAGCCCTGTGGAGCCAGTTCCTGCAGTGGGAGAGGTCTGTATGGGTGCCCAAAGCAAGCACTGTGGCAGGAGGAGGGGAGACTAACCCTTCACCTCTCAGGCCGGCTTCTGGAGCATGGGGAGGAGGTGCTAGCCCCACCCCTGCCATAGGCAATGATGCTGGTTGGCAGTGCACACTGACCTCCACAACTGCCCTCATGGACTGGGCAGCTGCTCAGAGCTTGTACCATACCAGCCTGAGGGGGAACAGGCCTTGTGTTCTAGATTGACAGCAAAATGTCTCCAGTATCCAGGTCCCCTGCCCTGTGACCTCTCATTAAAAGGCAGTTTCCCTCAGTCCTTGAATCTGGACTGGCTTGCGTGGGCCAGCAGGGTGCAGAAGTGGCTGTGTGCCAGTTTTGAGGCTGGGCCTCATGTGGCCTTGGAGCTCCCTCTTGTTCTGCTGGAACAAGCCCCAGGGTGAGCATGTCCAGGGAGGCCTGCTGGGAGGAGACACTATATGAGGTCAGCCAGTTGTCCCAGCAGAAGCCATCCTCATCCATACTACAAACCAGCAGAACCCAACATGTGAGGCCAGCCAGAAACAGAACCTCCCCGTGCCCCACTAACTTGTAGATTAACAATAAATGCCTCTTTGTTCAAAGCACTGAGCTTTGAGGTTTGTTCAGAAGTGGCTAACTGGCCTTCATTTACCAAGGCTTCCCCCCACCTGCAAGAAGCTTTTTTAAAAAGGTTTTATTTATTTTGGGGGAGGGGAGGTGTGCCTAGAGCCAGACCTGGGGCTTGATCCCATGACACTGAGATCATAACCTGAGTTAAACCAAGAGTCAGGCACTTAACCGACTGAGCCACCCAGGTGCCCCCTTCATGGACCCTTTGAGAGAGTCCAACTGCCCCTGGAAAGCAGGCCAGCCAAGCGAAGCCAGGTCCAGCTGAGGAGGAGAAAGCTCTCTCTAGACCACCCAGGAAACTGACATTCTGCTTCAGTGCATTTTCTGTGTAAATGCAGCCAGAAAACCCTCACTGACAGTACCTGAAACTCACTTGGATAGAGGTTCTCTGCAAATAGTTAAAAAGCAGACTCTCCGACCTCATCCACAGATTCAGGTTCTGGTGTGATGCCCAGGAATCTACATCAGCTGTGTGGCACTTGGAAGCAAAAACGTTCCAGTCTTTTCTCTGAACTGGAAACATTCAGGGCCAAAGGCATCATCTGTGAGGGAGCCAGGAATGTTCACACCCCAAGTTCAGTGCCAAATGAAGTTCAGAAAGAACTTAAAGGTCACAACCCTGAGATCATGACCTGAGCGGCAATCAAAGGGTTGGACACTCAAGTGACTGAGCCACCCAGGCGCCCCTCAACATCACATGTTTAATGTGATTAAAGTTACAAATAGAGGGGCACCTGGGTGGCTCGGTCTGTTAAGTGGGTGCTTTCAGCTCATGTCATGATCCCAGGGTCCTGTGATGGAGTCCTGCATCAAGTTTCCTGCTCAGTGTGGATGGAGCCTGCTTCTCCCTCTGCCCATGCCCCTGCTAATGCTTGTGCGCAGGCTCTCTCTTTCTCTCCGAAATAAACAGAACTTAAAAAAAATAATAAAGTTACAAATAGAAAACTCTAGCTTTTCTTTAGGTTGCGAAATTCAAGTTAATAATCTTTTTAAAATCTTTAACTATCATTTTGATTAGTTGTGTATGGTTCCATTTACAAGCTGAAATCCCCTTTAACATTTTTTTTTTGAGATTTATTTTAGAGATAGAGAGAGGGAGGGAGGGAAGGAGGAAGTGTACAAGCATGGTGGGGGGGGCCCCATGGGGCACAGAGGGGGAGAATCTCAAGCAGACTCCCTACTGGGTACAGAGCCAGACACAGGGCTCCATCCCAATACCAGTCAGATCATGACCTGAGTTGAAACCAAGAGTTGGACGATTAACCCACTGTGCCACCCAAGCGCCTCCCCTTTCTCATTTTAAACTGCATTTACACATGTAGAGTCTAAACCTATTTTTTAGACTTTCTGAGGATGTCTGGAGAGCAGCCATGACGTTGGTGGCCTGGATCTGGGTTCCTTCAGAACAGGAGGGACAGGCTAGGCTTTCTATTGCCAAATCCATGTCCAAGTGCAGTTCCGGCTGCTCAACTCCAGGCACCCACCTCCCGCTATTCTGCTGAGGTGCTGCCCAGCATACACCTGTGATGTTCTGTATGGGGTCCTCCCTCTCCCCACCGACCCCTCTGAAGCAGGCACTGGACTGTTACTCTCCCCATATGCCTGGTGAGGGGACTGGGGAGACCTGCTCAGACGGAAGAGCTGGGATTCACACTCAGGCAGGCGGGGTCCAGAGCCCGCAGTTAGGCCCCAGGCCCCAGAGCGCTCCGGCCTCTGCCCGCATCGTGGCCTTTCCCAGGACTAGTCCCGGCCGCGGTCTCCCCCAGGGACTCACACAGGGGTACACCCTGTGCTCCGCCGCCCCCCGGGGTTCCCTTCTTCACATCCACTGCCCTCGGGATAACCCAGACTCAACCCGAGATTAGGTCCCTCCACAGGGCTCTCGCGTCCCCACACAGCCGCCGCTCCCCGGCTCTGCTCCTCGCACCGCGGGAGGCCTGCCGGCTCCCGGACGGGCCAGCCTATCTCTGCGCACCCCGGCTCCCTCTCTTGAGACCGCCCTCTTCCCTTCCGGCCCTTTAGGGTCGCAGCTCCGAGGTCGCTTCCTCCAGGGAGCCCTCCCAGAGGCTCCGTCTAAGTGCCTCCTCCCGGCCCTCGCAGACTGGCGAGGCTGTGCGTCCCTCTGGTCTTCGCCGCCAGCCTGGGAGGCGGTCGGGGATCGCGGGCACCAGAAGCCAGGCCCGGAGCCTGGCACGACGAGTCGCGGGCGCCCCGGAGTTGGTGCAGATTCGGGTCCGGGTTCTGGCCGACAGCAGAGACTCCGGAGCCACTGCTCACCGAGGCCACGCTAACAGGAGGGGAACTTCGGCCGCTGGCCCGAGATAACATTCAGCTCCTGGCAGTCGCCTCAGAACGCCGGGAGCCCACCGCCGCAGTAGCCCAGTAAACTACAACTCCCGAGAGGCCTTGTGCGCCGAGGGGGAGGGGGTGTGGAGGCCGCGAGTCTCGCGGGAAGGCGGGAGCTCGAGCTTGCGGACGTGGGCGGGGCCGGAAAGAAGCGCATTTCAAAGCGGTAATAGATGGTTTTTTTAGCCAATAGGATTGAAAACATACCTCCTGGACCGGTAGACCACGGGAGACGAGGAGACGACGGCCAATGGGAGTGCGCGGGGGGTGAAGCCCCAGGCCTCAGGAGCGGAAGTGGGTCGCTGTGGAGGCGGCGGCGTCTTACTTGAGGATTTCTCCTCGGTGGCTTCCGGGGGTGCTTCCTCGCCAGAGTGCGTCGGCGGCGGCTCCTGCCGCACCAAACTCGCTCCCGGTAAGTCAGGCTTCGCGGAGAGCAAGCGGCCAGCCAGGGCCGAGCGGATGCGGGGTTCGGACGGCTTCGCGGCCTGTGGAGGCCTGCGGCGCGGCGGCCCGCGGTAGCGTGGCCCAGCCAGCTCGGGCCGAACGCCCGGCCGGCCTCCCTCGGGACCGCGGCCCCGCTTGCCCGCCCGCCACGCCCCGCCGTCCGCGTGGCCGTCCGGGCCCAGCTCGGCGAGGGGGACGGACGTGCGAGCGCCTTACCCAGAGCCTTGGCTGCCCCAGCGGGCTGCGGCCGCGGCTCGGGTGTAGCGAAGCCAGCGAAGCCGGGGGCTGGGGAGGGGGACGGACGCGCCCAAGGTCACGCCGGGAGTCGCTCCGGGGCGCCGGCCTGTGCCGGGCGTTCAAGGGAGGCCCCGGCCGGGTTTTTGTTCCCCGCTGACGCCGCCTCCTTTGTGTGCTTGCGCTGCCGCCCCGCCATCGCGGGCCTGCGAGTGCGCCCGGGCTGCGTGGCCGAGCTTCCTGGGCTGACCGCGCTGGGGGCGGCGGGGGCTGGCCCGGGCGGCGCCCACCCGGGACTGAGCTTAGTAGGTTCTTCGCTTCCGGTCGTTGGGGCGGTGGGGAGGGCGCTGAAGCGCTGAGGCCTGCGGCCGGCCCCGCCCCTCGGGCGCCTGCACCGGCTCGGGCGCCTGCACCGGCTCGGGCGCCTGCACCGGCTCGGGCGCCTGCACCGGCTCGGGCGCCTGCACCGGCTCGGGCGCCTGCACCGGCTCGGGCGCCTGCACCCGGAGCCTGAAGAGTGAGCGGGGGCTCGGGGGAGGCTTGAGATCCGGAGCACAAGGCTTGGCGAGCACCGCTGTCCGCCCTTTGACCCGTCCAGGGAGAAGGGTAAAGTTCAGAGTCGGACTTCCCCACGGGAGCCGTTTTTGTGAGGCTTTGGCTTTTATCTTCTTGTCCGTGCCCATCGACGTTTACAGTCGCACCTTCGTCCTGCTTCTGCGTTAGGGTCTCGGAGGCAGACCTAGGGTCTGAGCCCTGCGTTCCTGCACCCAGCCGAGGCGTCGGGGTGGTTGGAGAGACTGAGGAGGTGTGCCCTAGGTCGTGCAGCCGGCTACCTAGGTGACGGCAGAGCCGGCCTGGAACCTCGCTTTCCTTTGAGTGCAGGACTAGGCCTTTAAGTTCAATGACCCGGAGTTTGGGAACCACTAGTGATGAAGGACAGACGTTCGAGGGAATCGCTTTAACTGGTGGTGTGTGGGGAGACATTGTTGGGTTCAGTTTTATCTGAGCTGCAGGTGAAATGGGAACATTCAAGTAAAAAGAGGTGGTGTTGCTGGTTTTGTATTGCCTGAACGTGAGCTTCCAACTCAGATTTAAAAATCTTATCTTAATACAGTGTTTATTAACCTTTTTTTCTCCCTAGTGACCTCCCCTGGCATTTTTTAGTTTTTCTTAATTGTCCTCTCCATGAAATGTTACTGCTTCTTAAATACTGTAGGTCTTATGTACTGTATAGGTAGCTATTGCTTGATCATAAAAAGAATAAGATTTTTTTTTCACCCCCTTTGAGAGTGGATACTTTAAAAATTCTAAGTCAGGGCGCCTGGATGGCTCAGTGGGTTAAGCCGCTGCCTTCGGCTCAGGTCATGATCTCAGGGTCCTGGGATCGAGTCCCACATCAGGCTCTCTGCTCAGCAGGGAGCCTGCTTCCCTCTCTCGCTCTCTGCCTGCTTCTCTGTCTACTTGTGATCTCTCTCTGTCAAATAAATAAATAAAATCTTCCAAAAAAAAAAAAAAATTCTAGGCCAGCACAGTTTTAAGGTCTTCTGTGTGCAAAGCTTTCTGCTTGGGGTATAGCCACGGACAGAACAGGCATGGTACAACCCCAGTCGAACTGAGGAGCGTGGGCGGTGGGAGTGAGAAATTCCCTGAGTTTGAAATATAAATTGTGGGAGAGACGGGAATGGAGAGGTAAGCAGGAACCCGTCACAAAAGGTGTTTGCTGTGCCCAAGTTAATTCAGAATTTATGTTAAGACCACGTTGGGGGAAAATCACTAAATGAAGTTCTAGTAACATGGTTAGATTTGCATTTTTTTTTTTTTTTAAATCACCATACTGTGAGGATGGCTTAGAAAGATGGGTGAGACTAGTGGCCTCTGGACCAGTTAGGCAGAGAGAAGTATGGCTTGGACCATGGTGAGGAGTGGGGACCAAACTCGGGCCAGTGATTGCCAGTCGTGGGAGTTATTCACTGGATTTTTACTTAAAAAGCTGTTGCAAGGTTCATGTCCAGTAGTTTATACCCCTGCCAGTTTCTGGAAAAGATTTGAGGTACTACTGAATGCAAATATGTGCAGAAGGTAATTGGTTTTATGCTGCCTGAACATGGCTTTGTGTGTTCTTTGTGTGTGTGTGTATGTTACTAGTGTCTTATTTTGAAATGATTTATGTACATCTTTCACTGTCCTCGAGTTAGCTGGCTCTTGTAGATGTGACAGGGCTGACTTTTTTTCTTGAGGGATAATTCACATATATGCTCTTGTAACTTCTAACTAGCTTGTTTCTCAGCAGGGCTTTGGGGATTGTAGAGCAAGGCATTTTAAGGTTTCCTCTCTGAGGAGGGTCTACAGCACAGATACTGCTGCATCTCAAAGAGTTCAAGTGTGAGGAAGCTGGTGAGGTTGGGCTGTAGAGTGCTGCTACAGAATTTCCTTTGGAAGGGCTTTTTTCCCCATGTATAAATAAAGGTTGTCAAGTTTATTATTCCTACCTACACTGTGCAGGGTAGGAAAGGCCTGAAAATGTCTCAAAATAGTAGCTTCCTTGTGTAAAATGAAATTATGACCCTAAGGCTTTCCTGGAGGGATGTCTACACCCAATATGGGGCTCGAACTCACAACACCAAGATCCATTCTATCTGTTATGTCTGTGGAGATGAGATATTCTTTACTTTTCTCCCATGGTGATGATCTGTTTGTAAGTCTTCCTTTGTTTCCTGATGATGACTATATTTTTACTTGCAATGTAAGGCTCCATATCCCCTTTTCATCCTTTATTTCACCTCAGAATAGTCTGTGCCATCTCTGTCAAGCATCTAATGAGCTTGATAGTTTAATTTCTTTTTTAAAAGATTTTATTAATTTTTAGAGATTTTATTTATTAGAGAGCATTGGGGGGGGGGGCGACAGAGGGAGACCTGAGACAAAGGCAGACGCTTCACGGACTGAGGCACCCAGGCACACCTTGATCATTTAATTTCAGTGGAAGAAAGTTATGGTTTATATAGTCAGTGTGTTTGTGCTAAGAGAAGGGAACACTGCAGTAAATATTGGCCTTTAAGACAGGTTGACCACGTTGAGTACAGAAGAAATGGTTAGATTAGGACCAGGAGGAGCAGGGGAAATGTAAGGAACCTGTGAGGTAGGTCTTGAAGGATGAGCAGGAGCGGGTATGGGTCCCTTTAAGACAAGGGGACAACATGGATCAGATTATGCCCCTGGTATTAGGAGGAGACTGACAGCCAGGATACCAGAGTAAAGTACAGTCAGTTCTGCTTTAAACACTTGTTTGGAAGCATGATTTGTTCCAACAGGATTTATATACTAGGAACAGTTTGAACATTATGGGGATTTTGAGTTTGCTGTGCATTATAATTTCACCTATGAGAACTACTAGACGAACACAGAAAATTGAACTGAGCCGAGTCAAGTCACATAGACTGTAGACAGTACACACCTCAAGCATCCCCCAACTCTCTCAATGACTGTGTGTGGTATGAGCCACACCCTTACACATGTTTTGTTTAAAAAAATTCTCCCTACTTCCCAGTAACTCAAAAACTGCAAACCTTATAAAGTATTCGTGCATCTCCTAACCATTTAACATGTGCAGAAGCGTGCTTCCCTTCTGTTAGGTTAACTTGTGTGTGTGTGACGTTGACAAAGGTTTTTAATGTTGTACCCCTAATTTCTTTGTTTTCCCATAAGTCCTGTGGGGTTTTTTGTTTTGTGCGGTGTATTTTAGGAATACACATGTCTGTAACTTCAGGTGAGGCCAGAAGGGTTAACACTGGGTTAGGGAAGGGAGGTTACGCTGAAGGTGATGGATGTGATCTTTTGGGAGCATTTGCAGTCATTTTTGGGCCTTTTGGAGCTTGGTCATTTTTTTAAGCTCCCATGTGAAGCCTTTTAACTTCCCTGGCCCCTTTTCCATATCTGTTAATAGCATTACCTTCATAGTCTGGAGCCTGCTGTACTTCATGAAGCATCCCAGTTGCCACATTTGTCCTGGAGGCCAAGGACCATTGATGTCTATTTTACTTCCTAGGTAGAGTGTTGGAGGAGAGTTGAGGTTCTGGATTAGGGCTTCTTCCGCTCACAAGCCCAGGTATGGAATCCCACTGCCAAGATTGGTGTCTCTAGAGAATTGGGTTTGGCGAGCCCTTTGGTGACAGGGTCCATGCGTTCTTTAGCCAGCCCACCTGAGCGTCTGCCTGGAGGGGAAGGGAAGGACTTGTGCTGAGGATCCCTGGGAGAGGGCTATTTAAGACCAGCCAAGTATGCAAATGAGGGAGCTGCCGCAGTGTGGCACTGC